ATAGATTATACGGTTGGCAGACTACCTGTGCCAAAGATGCAGAGACCTCCAAGCTTGCTCCCTCAGAGTTTAATGGTTTTCATTAGACACATGAACATCTAACACAAGATGGTGAAAACACTATAAAGCATCTCTCTCTCTCTCTCTCTCTGTGTCTACCTATCTCTAGACAACCTCTTCTCATGGCGGAGACTTCAGTATAAAGTAGCATTGTGAGCGCTGGGTTACATTTTGCTTTCCTTCCTTTTCTGCCTTCGTGCAGTTCATGCCCTCGTTTGAGACCCACTGATTCTCATCGGCCTCACGAACACAGCAGCTCTGCTCTGCCCCTTTGTTGAAAGCGGAGCAGAGAAAGCCAAGGGGGTAATTCAGGCTGCCATCAGTTCCCCACCTTTGCACTGCGACAAAGGGCAGCTATGCAAGCAGGCACCAGGCCAGCACTGAAGAGTAACAAGGCAAAAGCCAGTTTCGGGGAGATGACAGTTTAGAATCATGGTACTGCACCCATACGGGTGGAGCATTAGTTTAGTCATTTGTGCAGAAAGGGTAACAAGCCAGTAAACACTGCAGAACTAACACTGAAGTCTAGGTCACAATCCATTACCAGAAAAAACACAACCAGTCATACCCAAAACAAAAACCACCACCACCACCAATCATCCCTGGGAAGGCCTGCTCTGATGCATCTGATTCATTCTGCAGGTCCAGCCCATCTGAACCTAGCCCCAGCTCAGCACCAAAACAGTGCTGGGCTGATTTTGTGCAGAGCTATCTGAATCTGTCTACACCACACCCCCAGGTTCCATAATATCAGCAACCCCGATGTTCGGTGTATGCCATGCTGTCTTAACTCCAGAATAAGCAGGTATTGACACTAATTCTAAGAAAACTTGATGCATTTCCCGAAATTTTTAACTGCCAGCCCAGGAAGGTAATGACTTTTTTTTTTTAATCCTCTACAGATAGAACGTGGCAAGATATTACCATTTTGGTAGCAATACAGGGAAGAACAAAAAATGATGGCTTTGAGATTTAAGAACTAATGGCTTGTTCATTCATTCTCCTGTTAAATTCCTGAAGATTTTCTAAGTACATATTACCTAATTTAAGTTTCAAATGACCAGCTGAGATTACAGATTTGTTCAGCTGCCAAAGCATGATCATCTCGGACTGAGGTAAAGAACAGCATTGCTCCCACCAGTTCTCTACAAAGAGGAGAAACATACATATCAAACCTGAGTGGGCCATGTGTACACAGCACAAAAGAGATGCTGATAATGTATGACGCTGTTTCTTTTTGGCAGTTCAAACATTTCTAAACAGGAATGTGATAACCCAGAAAAAACACAACTTCTGCCCTCAAAAACCCAGGGCTGGTTTAGATATGATTTAGAAAGAAATGCAAGAAAACACAGGCCTGATTCTGTCAGTAAGACAAGAAAGATAACACATGCATTAAAAGATAAAATATTGCATATTCTGAATGTTTGCAGGATTTTTCTCCTTTAATAAGAACACTTCAATATGGCCACTTAACTTTTAGTAAGCCCTACAGTATGAATGAGCATTACATTCTTTTTCCATAATATTTTCAGTAAAATAATGACTTCATTATATTTTATAATATATAAAGAAACCTTAAAAGTGGCCATGAGTTTTTACTGTTTATTTCCCCCCCTCATGTATCAGAAACATCAAGTCTAGTCTTTGCTGGTTATAAAGGATGCCTGTGAAAATTTCAGGGTATGGTTGCTTATGTCTCTCTACAACTGATGAAAAGCAGCTGTGTTAAATCTAAAACCCCTCCTTTATCAGAACCATTACATACTGAAGTTATAGATATCAATTCTTTGAACCATGCAAAAAATATAGCTCTCCCCCTGAAAACAGTTGAGATTTCATTTGATCCTGAGTCATCACTAGGCCCACAAAGTCTTAATGTTTCAAAGCTGAAAGCCTTTGTTTTTCCACACAAAAGGCAAGAAGAAAAAACCACCCACTTGAAAATCCTCTTTATCCATGATAAAAATGGCCATAACACTGTTAAAGCAAGAACAGTAGTAACATTTTCCATCAATTCTGACCAAAGAATTTTAACAACTCTTACAGAGGAACAGAGGTCAGTATAGCTATATAGCCTGCCTTTATCGCTTCCCTACCACAGTCAGACACCCATGACGCTGGTCAAAATTAGGGCAACTCAGATGTACCCCTCCCAGAGCAGTGTTCTAGCTAAGAAATACCTGGTTTATGGATAAAAATCGGCTAACTGAAGTCTGAAGAACAAGCAAAACCACAGTACAAGCAATAGACGGAGAAGTATGTTTACCTTCCTGATTTGGTAGCAGATTAACACAAAACCAGAAATGGTGGGAGGAGGGACATAAAGGTTGTTATGAATACATACCAGCTGTTACCAGCACAAGATTTTGCCACAAATTCACTATTACAGCCCTTCCCCTAAAACTGAAAAGTTTCTCATGCTACCTGTTCAAGTACTTCCTTCTTAGCAGAAACTTTTATACCAAATTACACTTGTAATTGGTAGTTACATTTCTCCAAACAAGCAAAATTGGATTTTTTCCAAAAACATAAGTTTAATACGTATCCTGTAAGTATTGCTATCACTTGTTAAACGAGTAACACTTCCCATATTTAAGAATTGAAGAAAATTTTCTGAAGTTTCACAGAAAAAGAAGACTGCAGATGTATCATTACTTACAAGGCAGTTATCACAAATGCTACTTTCTTTTCTTTTTTGTGGTCATTCATTCTGTTTCATAAAGAGGTTTAAAATTATTACATCTCAAATGAAAGCCTATAAAAACATACTGAAAGATACAACATGCTTAAAAAGAGTTTTCTTGGTTTCACAAGCTTTTCTTGTTTCTCTTTTATGAAGAGCTGAGAAATTAAAATTAGCATTTGAAAGTATTCAAAAGATTGTTTAAACTTCTCATTTAGGTGTCAGATTCCACAGGTGCGATTTCTCATTAAATACAGTGAAACCTTCTTGAAATCAACCTTACTAGGCAACCTCTGTTATTAACATTATAAAGCAAAACAGTAAAATTCTGGTTTCCCTACAACTGAAGATACTCTTAGACAAATAATCAACTAAAAGATAGAGCCTAAGATGAGCACAGAAAGAACACACTGCGTATCTGTTCTCTTACCTTACGTATTGAGGGTATCGAGGTTCTATAACTTCTGGTTAAGAAAAGAACCTTAACTCATACCATTTCATTGCGTAATCAACTCTTCTGCCATTATTATACTCATAACTCATTATACTCATATTATAACTCATGTTAGAGGTCTTTTAGTTTTAATTTTAAAAAGCATTAATAAAAAGAGCACATAAAGTGCACTGCTGGGAACACTTGAGCACTGGGACTAAGTGACAGGATTTCTTTTTGCAATAAAGCTAGTAATTCTTGAAATAGAAAACAAAATTATGCTGGCACAGCATTTTGCTTCTCCCGAACTAAACTGCTTGCAAGAAAAATACTATTACAGCAGAATACCTTTTTTCCACAGAATTATTAAAATTGCTGTTTAAATTGACTTGTAACAATGTAAGCTTTAAGGAAACATCTGGTTTTATACCAATTCTGACTTTCAGTGGACCAGAACTCTTTATTCAGTCAGTTTGCTGGCTAATATCTATACAAAACAGAATCTCTCAAGAAGTACTTTGAATTGAACCAGATAAAGTGCAACTTCTTACCTGATAAATTTTGCAGGCATGTACTGCATCCCTCAAGATCTTACCACTCAAATGGCAAATTAAGATAATACCTCAATTTCTAACTCTCTCCCAATTACATAAAAAATAGAAACCAAAGCTTCTAATAAGCACTCAACCTTCAAAATTGTTACAGGAATTCCTTTAATATGAAAGGCAGTACCACTAAACCAATAAAAAAAGTTTGGAAAACCCACACACATTAAATACACGTATTAAACCCAAACTAATTTGGAATCTCACTGTCTAAAGCAAACATATGCCTCAAGTCTTCTTCAAAGCTTCATTCAAAGCTTCTCCTGTTTCATTTAATTTTCCATATAAACAGAATTAACATCTTCCCATGTAAGTGTTTAGTATTTTGTATCTCAACATAGAATAAACATCTTCATGCTTACAGCTTCCGTAAAATAAATTTACCAGTAATAACATAATGACAGCTTCAGGAGATGACGAAAATGCATTGAAAGTGGCATTACCACCCATTCCAGGTAGCAGTTTCTGAAATACTTAGAAAGCTTTTCAACTTACAGGCCTCTAAGAACCATGATAAGAAAGAAGAGACACTAAAACCAAAAGAAGTTATATTTTTGCACTACAGTATAGATTCATGACATCTGTGCAAAGTAAGAACACTAATTATTTTAGAACATCCTGTTCTGAATTATTTTGCTGGCTTTTTCAAGTCAACACTTATCTCTGCAGAATCTTTGTGAAAGCCATGGTAATATGAGCAACAAAAAAATCTAAATTTGGCAGAGGGAAAAGTAAAATTATTAATCTACTGGGCAACTTTATGAAAGTTTACCTGTATTGTTTATCAGTGACAATCCTTAAGCATAAACTAGAGACAACCACCTTTTTTACTTCACAGGCCAAGACAGTTAATACTGAACAACACTTACACCCCAGGTGTCTCCCAAATAAAGAACATCAGTTGCACAAAAGTACACTAGACAACATTTATCTATTTGTTTTGTTTTGTTGCTAGTTTTGGTTTGCTTAGACAGAGTCATGACCCAACTGAGTTCCTCAAATAACTCAAGCCACATTTGGATTATCACATAAATGGTGACTTCTGGGAGGGGGGGGGGGGGGGGGGGGGGGGGGGAATCAACCTTTTCCATGACATTAGACTAAAATTCTGCAGAACAATGACATTTTATATCCTGTATCATGACTAAAATTTGAAGAAATTATTTACTAGCATGCTAGAGCTAAATATAATTAATACTTGATGCTTTGTATTTACCATTCTGTAATCCCATCCACAGTTGCTTATGATCCTTTTTTTGCATCTCATTGATGACTTGACTTTTGTGCTTTAAAGCATCTGCTTCTTTTATACAAGCCATAAAATGAGCTTCAATCACATCCTTAGAATGGCAGGGCAGAAGATCCTTTTCTGGAAAATTCTATAAAGAGAAAAGATAGATCAAGAGAAATAAATGCATCACACATCTTAGAAGATGAAGATTAAATGATAATTTTAATCAGGTTTATATTTATACAAAAGCAGCACACTGGAATCTTCTACTTATGGAAGAAGGTAACAACCATTCTCTCACTCTGCTGACAAGAAAGGTTTTACAGTGAAAAACATTTCAGGAAAAATAAAAGTTGAACAATTTTCTGTAAAACCAGAAATTACTCTAAATCATCCAACCTCAACTTGATAAATACATTTAAATACATCAGTGGATACATTTAGGCCCTTACATCCAAAATTCAGGAAATGAAGAGTTCTAACATGTCTTCAAGCAGATGTTCAATTCTCTGGCAATGAACAGGAGAAAAGGGCGAGAAGTAAGTGACAAGCACCCAATTCCTACTGACCCTCAAAAGCAGCTTAGCATGCATTTCTATGCAGGCCTTTGAAAAATGTTTCCTCCAGGTATCAACATCCACGTATATGAACTATAGCATATATGCCACTTACAAACATTTTTCCTTAGAGATACTGGAAATCCTTGTCAGCTCCAACTTTACCTAATACATGTGCCTATTGCTAGCCCGTGTGACCTGATTTCCTCTCTCTTATTCGGTTAGAGTTGGCGCACTGCATTCAGCATTGCAGATGCACAGTTACCATTCCTCAGGTGACTTTTATCCCCTCAGTAAGTGACAACTACCTTTCCTAATTCATTTATTGAGGAATTATAGTAGTAAATCTTGTTCAGGTACAAAAAGATTTCTTTGGAAATTAACTAATCAGAAGTTCAGCATTGTATAGGTATACAGTTAGGGTTGTTCTTCTGCTAATTTTTCTTTTATCAACACTTAGTATTACTTGCCATATTACAATAATACAAGCATTCCGTATCACAACCTTTAGTTTTCAAAGATTTAAAAACCCAGCATGTTTTGTACCCTCCTTATTCATCTTCTTTTCACAGCTTATGACCATGCTGAACAGTGCAAACCCCCAGAGCCAAACCAGAGTGGCATCATTAGTACTCCCCTTCATAACAAGAGCTTGCCATGTATTTTTATACTTTAATTCTCATCTGTTATTCCACAAGAGGACCCTTCCTCTTAATCCATTACAAATTGGCTATTTAAAAAAGCTTTTGTGAAGGACTGTCAAAACCATTTTGGAAATATAAGTACATATAATGGGATATTTTTCAAAGGCTTTTACAACATAGTTAACATGTCACAGTAGGAGCAATATAATGCTGGAAAAACCCATACCTTCCCTCCTCCACATAAAACCAGGAAAAATAGTGAAGGCTGCTTCAAACTACAGGAACTCAAAATATCCAAGAACTACTAACAGTTGGCAGTATGAAAGGGAGCTGGGGATTGCCTTACCTGAAGGAAATTCTGAGGACAAGAATGATAGTTCCCTCCTCATTAGGTTATTGTAAAGAGCTGGAAATTAAATAATGGAATTTCATATCATGATTCCTCCTTATGACAGTGAACCCACACTCTGGAAACTGTGGAGCAAAAGGATGAGTATCTTCCAAAAACGGAAGTATAAAGGGAAGAGAAGACTGCTAATATCTTTTCCACAGAAGCATACACGGTTTGGTGTTAAATTCACAAAGGGAGTGCTATTGTTACTTAGGACTGATGTATGTAGAGCTGACTAGAAATCTAAGGACAGAGATAAAGCTTGTTTCTCATACGAGGATGGCCAAGTATAAAGACATTAGAGAGGACAGAACAGAAAGGAAAGCTCTCCTTCTAGGGTAGATCTCACTCCCTTTCTCCCCTACAAAGCTGAGTGTCTCAGCATAATTGGGCCCAAGATGAATGGAACACATTACTGGGATTGTTACTCGCCAGCTGACGTGTATAGGCCTGTAAAATACCTTTAGAAGTTTAACTTACTTGCTCAAATAAAAGTAGTAAAGTCTGGTAACCAATCCAGAAGAACAGAACAGTCAGAAATAGCATACTTCGAGATCAAAAAAGTTCTTTACGTGCAAGAATTCAAAATGAGACACTGGCATCCCTCAAAAAAAGATGAAGCAGTGGAATGTACCTAATGCCAAGTAATACAAGAACCTAGAAACTGACTTTCACAGTCAAAAGCTGAAGTTTTAGCTAAGTTTATGAAAACAACAGTTTTGTTACAACTGTTTTGTTACACATATGTTGAAATATACTGAACTGCAGGGGTTTTTTTTGGACATTCCTGTCTTTCTACAGGTAGGCATCTCCCTGCTGACTTTCTTCCAATGAATTTCAAATTACAGGGAATGTCGCTCCCTGGGGATGTGTTCCAGACAACATACACAGTGTGGTCTGCAAAACAGCACGGAGATATTTAAAATTGGTCAAAGCTAGCTAAGCTAGTGGAAAGAATCTAGCCACAGTAGTACAAAGGTATGGCGTGATTCGTTTTCCCAGCTTCTAAGGGATAACACTGTGGAAGACTGGAAAACACTCCTACAATCTCAGTGCTGTCGACTCTTTTCTTTAGAAGAAAAATACTGACACATTTCTACGCAGTACTGTGAGTAGAAGCTGAAAAACCTAAACATGAAAGTGATAACTTAGAAAACAACACTGCTGCATCTACAAGGGGCAGATGAAACAGTTTCACCTACGTGAGACTACCAACAGAAAATATGGCATCCCCACTGATTCATAAACTAGGGCACAGAACAATAAGTTTTATACTTAAATATAGAACATGTATGCTTATATTTTTTTTTTTTTAATTCTACTTGCATTCTTTCTACTTGTGGAAATAATGATCAAATGTAAGTAACTTTATTCAGTTCCCTGACGAGACAATTGTAAACAAGCTTGTAGCCACCCCTGGCTATGCAACTATGACATTTGCATAAAGTTTTAATAGATCCCATAAACAATTTTAATTCAAGTACTCTTATTGGTGATGTCTTACTCCCTCCATGTTCTGTATCTTCGAAAGAAAAGTTATTAAGAGTTGACTCTGATTTTCTTAGCTCAAGTAGTACTGGTTTTGTTTCACATTACCAGTAGACACTTGCAGCACAAACTTGGTCATAAACAAGCAGGTATCATCTGTACAGACAGGAGCACTAAATGACCTCTCACATAAAACTTCGAAAAATATCGCAAGTAATTTCAACAGTCTGGTTTCATAACTCCATTCCACCCATTCCTAATCTATTAGTTCTAGTTCACAGAACATCTGTTTATACTGTGACAGTCTAGTTGCATTAGGCCACGTTTTCAGAAAATTACACCAATAATACGGCGTTAGAAACTGTAAGGAACATATCCAGTGACAGGGGGAGCATCCATGTATTTGTGTTTAGTTACCATCAGTGGTCTTTTTTTCAAAAAAGATTAATTTTAAAAACCCCTCATTTATACTTCTGGCTTCCACAATGTCTCCTAGCAGTTCCACAATTTATCCATATGCTACATGGAAAAGTACTTCCTCTGCACTCCACCTGACCTGATTTTGAGCTAAGAAAACCAAGACGACAGCTGTTGTTATACTAAAACAGATGCAGTCTCTCCTCCTCTACATCAGGTCATGGGTGGAAAGGCAGGCACCAGCAGATAAGGGCTTCAGCAGAAGGAGAACACTGGCCTTTCCCCTGGCACACCTGATTTCCTCTCCTGCTACCATTTCCAGAGCAGTTCACCACCTCATATCTACCGCCCAAAATCTGGAGAGTTGGTTACCACGCTGAGAAGATGAATAGTGCTAAGCATGCCACAGAGTAGCATGAGATGAGTTTACTGGGAAGGGATAGAGTTTCCCTCCTCCCCATAAAGCCACACCTGGGTAACAAAACCAACTTCCCAGACTACGGCTTCTCATGATTCTCAGACCTTAGTGCTCTGTTCAAGCTCGTCCTTCTATGACTATTTAAGGCAAGTGTATTTCATCTATAATAGAGATATAAATACATGTTATTTTATTGCATACCAGAAGTATAAATAAATAAACTGTTTCTTCAGTGCAAACAATAAGTGTATTTATTATTTGGTCTGCATATATAACAGGAGGACAATTACAAGTATCTGTCAACTTTCAAACTTCTGCTGAACAGAAATAAACTTTTTTCATGTTTTTATCTTTAAACAAAGAAAACTGATTGGGGGGGAGGGTGGGGTGGGGGAAGTTAAAAATCACTCCTTACAGATGTTCTTGAGATATCTGTTGTTGAATGCATGCTTTGGTAAAAGAAAGGAGAAAGCCATAACAGCAAAAGTTAAACCCCAGAAAAGTCTAATACTGTTCAATTAAGCCAAATAAAAATTATGGCTCTTTGAAGAATAACTACACACAAATGAAAAGAATAATCCAGGCAGGAATCCCACACCTAAACTATTTAGCTGTAAGAAACTAACACATGAAAATGTCTTCAATATTTTTATATACTTTGATATACTTCAGTTATGTTTTGACTTTAAGGATTAAAAGGGGTTTATTTAAATAAACTTTCAGATTACATCAAAAACAGGAAGAGAGATTAAGCAGGTGCTTAATCCAAGGTGCAATATTTTTAAAAATTAAATTACATCAGCTTTTAAAATAATACTGCCTTAGCAGTAAATTGTTTCTGCTGATCTTTAATGTACACCTTTGAGACAAACTTAAATTAGCTGATCTTTTGGCAAGCAGCAATATAAGGACATTACTACATGAAACTGAAAAGCACTGTGGTGCTGCAACTTATTTCTCAAGATGGCTCTACTTCAGGATGGCAACATCCACACACTGCCACTGTTAATCTCCCAGAGCTCTCAGAACGTGTAACGATTAAATCATGATTTATGAAACTAGACGCCCTACAGTTTCTTCAAAACACTCTGGAAGTTTCTTCATCCCAGCTCTTTCTGACACGTGTCAGACAGAAGTGTAGCAATTACAATGGTGTCAAAAACATCCCCAACTTCAGATTCAGTCAGTCAGTCATTTTAAAAGTTTCAACATGTGGAAATAGATATCATAAGAATGTATGATTTCAGTGCACACTTCCAAAAAGAATCAGACTATTCCTGTTAGCAAGGCCTTTACTAAAACATCTTCAAGAGAAGAACTGTTTGAATGAAACTGCTTCCCAGAATGCTTTTCATTTAATCTCAAATCTCACACACTAAAGTCAAGACTATCAACCTAGTGTTTTCCTTTGCAATAGTTTTCTTATTGCATTGTTTCTTTTACAATGGAGAAATTAAAGTTTCAAAGTTAAATACCACGATTCCTAGTTCTGATTTTGACTTCAAAACATACCTGGGATTATCGTCTCAATGCATTTCAGAGCATGAAAGAATCCTGCACCAAAGCTAACCCTGCGCAAGTACTCTTCTGAGCAAAGATCAGAAGCGCTATGAAGTCATACCTAATGGTTTTACAGTGTGTAATCAAAATAACATCTCTCCTGTGACTAAGCTGTCACAAGACCAAACTCACTTCACTCAGTTCTCTAAAGGGGACCCACATGAAGTACAACGGCATTACCTGACTTCAAGGATTTTTACAGTATCTCATATCCATGCTCATGTGCCTAAAAGGATGAGCACTTCTCAATCTTCCCAACCTTCAGTCAACTCAAACTGACTGAATTAAAAACATTATAGAAAGCTCTTCCCTTATATCCACTCAATTGCACTGACATAGTCTCATAACTTATCTTGAAAAACAATTTTGGATTTTCAGATTATAATAGAATAATTTTCAAGGGAAAGTCATTTGAAAGCACATACAATCTCATGGAAAAGAGCTGTAGATTTACAGAAAACTTTAGACGATTCCTGAAGAATGAACATTCTCCCCTTCACGTCATACCATTCACTTATTTACAAAATAATTATGAAGCCTTTTCCTAGCTTCCAAATTTCATGTAATCCCACACTCACTTGTTCTTAACTAAAGATGTATTTCAATTTTACCTTGAAATGCACTGTGATGCTCCAAGGAAGGGCTGTATTTGATGCATGGAGATCAAACAGCAAACCAATTGGGTAATGCCTAAAAATGAAGAGATATTAAATGAACATAAAAGCTGTGCATTTAATTCTACATGCAACAGTTAACATACCTGCATTTACATGAAAAAAAATAGCTGTTTGACTCCCACAATTAACATTCATTATTGCTTATTCAGAAAAGTTATATAGGCAGGTATAAATGACTGACAGTTTCCAGCAGAATCAAGTCTGGAATTTGTGTGTTCAATATCTAAACCAGTGGTCTCCAAGCTGTGCCCACAAAACACTGCTAGTTTTGCAACAGCATAAGTGGCCTACAGCTGCTCTGTGGAATCCTTCAAAACAGTCTTTTTAGTTAAAAAGCTTGATAATGGTAGGAATAGCTGGTCTGACAGAAAAGTATATCTGCTTTCAGATATTTAAACGCCATGGGCTTATACCACATTGACCCTTAACATCTCTTCCCTCTCCCACCTGCCTGATGCCACTATGGAGAATGTAGTAAAGTGAAAAAATGACATATCTGTAAAAGGGCTGAAAGAGGATAGATCAAGATGAACTCTGTATCTTTACTATCAAATTAAGAAGAATGGAAGGGGAGAAAAAAGATTAATTGGAGTTTTGTATTTCAGTAGTATTCTGGATTAAAGGAGTTACACAAAGAAGCTGCTTCCTCCAAATATTCACTTCTGTCTTATAGCTTTGTCTCCTTTAAATTCATTAGAAGATACAGCCTCCAGCAATATAAGGAATATGTATCGCATACACAAAACTTCCACAGGCACTCTAAAAAGGTCTTTCTGCAATTTTCTCACAAGCAGACACTGGCAAAATTTTTGAGAAAAATTTTTTTTTTTTTTTGCATTCAGCATGCCAAGCTCCATTCTCCTATCTTTCAAAAACCTTAACTAAAAGAGCCTTACTAGCTTTTCATCCTACAAAGAGATAAACACACACTTAACTGTAAACTCAGTAGCTTCACTGAATTAAATGGGACTGATCACAGGACGCAGAGCCAAGCACGTACATAAGTTTTGAAAATCCAGAGAGCAATAACCAAGAGCATTGCTCTAAAAGCACCTGTGCCGAGCCAATTTCCTGACCTGCTGAACTCTCACACAACAGTGCTTTAGCACCCTCTACGGGTGAGCTAACCCCAAAGCTAAGACAAAGTCACTGCAACAGCAAAATAAAAACCAAACCAAAACAGTACTACAACACTTGAACTTACCTACTGCATTTGTAACTTCTTAAAAGAAAGAATAGGGGGAAATATCAAGAAAGCATCTAGAACTGTGTTTTCCTGACAAAGGGAATAAAGAATATAGAAAATGCATATCCAGATTTATTCCAATTCACTGCTAATGCTCAAGTTTTTACCACTAAGACTTTTTACTACTAATTGCCAATCATGTCTTGAGTACTTCAACAGGGATTCAGTAAGAGTTCTATGAAAGAGTGGTTTTCCAGGTGAGCTAAGTAACAAAAATCAGATTTCCTTTGATAATTAGATGAACACAAACAATGACTAAGTTACTTTCAATTTATACAACAAAATAGATAGCTACGAAAAAAAAAAGCATCGGTTCTTGGCCTACCTCTGTATTTTCTACCCAGTTCAGATTACAAAATGAAGCTCGTGTACTCAAGCTTTCTTCAGAAAAATCCTTCTGCTTTGCACAGTTGATAGATGGTTTTTAGTTTGAAAGAGGCCAGCCCTAAATTAATTTTGTTCCACAGCAGAACACATGAGATTAACGAAGACAATAGACCATGAGAGAAATTGTTTTCTATTCAGAAGCACAGCTTTCCATTAAGAGCAAAGTTCACAAGAGGAGTGAAGCAATCCCAAGATACAAGATATGTCCTACTTCAAATTCCAGTTCTCACACACTGGCATTTAATCTGAAGCCAATAGAAGCCTTAAGTAATGCCTGTACATAATGCTGTGTTTCACTTATTTTTGAGATATAGTTACAAGCATTTTTTAAGGGTCTGGAAACAATAGCACTCCATATAACAATATCAAAGCTATTCTTTATATTTCCCCCATAATAAAACCTGGTTTCTTAACCAGGATAGAGAATTAGAGGAGGCACAAAGAGAGAAGCTGAGAAGAAAAGAGGACTTGTCAATCTGTACATGGAATAAAAAACACCCAACATTTCCTCACTCCATTCTTAAGCAGATACACAGTATCTACCTTGTGCTATGAGCCAGTATTCCCTCATTAAAGGTCTTGCTTCCAGTGGTACTATTGCAATAGTGTTTCTGAACTTCTATTTGAAAAATAGGCATTGCAATTAAAGAAATACACAAATGGCCTCTAGAACCTACAGTAACCAGGACAACAACAACAACAGAATTCAAAAACCCAAGAGAGCCAGTTAAAGATTTGCCCCCC